TTGACAGTCCGTTGCTTGGTGACAGATATCCATATATGTTGGTTGTTGACATGTCTGTTATATTTCGCTATGTATATATGGATCGATACTTCATTATAATTAGCCATTCATGTTAAGACTGTCTAATGATTTGTTCACACGCTTTATCTGGAACATTCATATGTATTTCGTTTCTCACAATTTGTGTGACCTTACTTTACTTACTTATCATTTTGGTGTGAGACCATTTATTTTCGTCTCCTTGTGTTTGGACAATAGAAGTATCATCGCAAACCTAGTGGTCTTCTGATTTCCGCCTTCTTGCGTCAGGACTATTAAATTCTCGACCAGTCCATAACAATAATTTAGCGACGAGTACATAACAGTTTCACACCTAATGCTTTCTTTATCGCACAGAACACGAGCTAAGTAAGGTATGGATGAGTTTTTGTACTTACTAGTGCGGGCATATAGTTTCCTAAATAGGCTTCTGGTTTTCCCTGAAGAGATGCAGGGGGAGATTTGTGAATGTAGAGGGTGTTTTGAGTCAGATAAAATGGATTTTGCCCATTTTTCAAATGAGTCCATGTGCCTGTCCACCAGAATATTAACAAGCTGGTTAAGTGGCACACTGCTTACCCTGCTGACAACCTTTAACATCCTGCCTAGCATGGTATAGTCTTTCTTCAGTAGCCTTGAAAAAACTAAGGGGGAACAATAGAGAATAATAGGCAGAATACGGGAGTTAACGAATTGTAGTAGTAAGGGTTGGGTCACATCAGAATGTCTTAACTTCTTGATGTAGAAGGTAAGACGTAATATTATCTTAGAAATCGTCAAGATGTGAGACGACCAGGAAAGATCAGAAGATAGAGTGACGCCTAGGTATTTAATTTCTGACTTAGTTTCTATTTCAGTGCCATCAATGTTGCACACCTCGTGAGTGCTTACCAGTTTGCTTAGGTCAGATTTGTGCCTAAAGGTGAAATTAACTTTTTGGCATTTGGAGGGGTTGCCGAATACCTTAAATATGTTAGAATCACTAGATCTTGAACTTCGAATGGATTCAGCGTGATGACTTTGATGCTCAAGTCTTTGTTTCATTTAGATTTCCTTCACTGTTGTTTCTAGATGGCGAGTATCATATAATAATCAGGATCTGCGACGTCTAGGACACTTAACTCTTGAGGATGTATATGTGACTTCATGGTCTAATTTAATTTTATAACCATCATAATAGTAAACGCATCAGCATAACTTTTTTATAATTGCACTTTTCAAGAAAGAAGTTTGGGCATTTTACTTAACGGAATTGCGTCAAAACTGTACGAATTACTAGTGATAGGCTTCCTGCTGTTAATTGCCTCTCACTGTCTAACATTGTTTTAGTTAACCACTTTGAATAGATGGTAATATACACCTATTATATCTGTTTTCTATCAAAGCTACATCATAATATTGACAAAATATTAGAGCATTCTTTCTTTTTCTTTTAAACTCTTGAAAGAAAACTAAAACCTAAAGTTCTTAAACAAATCTTTTCCAGATTAAGTGTTTTTTTATAAAGAAAGCCACTTTTAAATGCAAGGAAAACCATTTCGTTTAAATACTGGTTGTTTAAGAACACATTAAACATATTCCGCAGTCTTCTAATTCGGAAAAGGATTGTATACATGTTTACAGTTAGGAAACTCAAGAATAAAGTGTCAAGCTTTTAAATCAAGTTGACACAATAATGACATTATATTTAACCACACAGATAAAGTAATGTTTAAAGAGGTTCTTATGGTAAATTCACTAGTAACTGAATACATGAAGAAGCTGCCTGGATTTCTGGTGAGAAGTCATGACCAGTGGGTTCTATCCAGGTTGGTTGTGAAGACAAATACTCGCCGATGAAATTGACCGGTAGTAGTGCTAAAAATTACGGAGTGACAGAGGTTAGAACTCATTTGACAGCCATTGGATTCCTTCCCAGTGCCTGAATGGTCAACAAGCTCGACTTGTGACCTGATGGTTATAGCTTCTATCTCTGACTGTTGGGTGATGACTGCGTACTACTCAGTATTTCCCAAGTCGAAAGAAACGGCTGTCCAGTCCTCTCTGGTTTTTGTTAACTCTATAACTGACGTCAGTCTACCATCTAAGTTGAAATCAATCAAACCCCTACAATCTAATACCTAAAAATCAATGAAAATAGATGTAATCTAAGAGAAACTATGTTAACTATCTAATCTTGTTATTACATTCAGTTAACCTCTTGTTACCTCTTTGTATGTGAATACTACAAAGTTAGTTGGTAGTCTCACGCCTAACCTTCCCTTTTTCTGGAATTACTATTTCCGACAAGTAAACTAGATGTGGTTGAAAAATGCGTCTATTAAGCTTAAACTATCTCAGTTATCTGATTAGAAAATATCTAACATTAAGATGATATCGGTTATATTATAGAAACAGAAAATATGCTCAGACTAATTTTTATCTACAATTTCGATTATCTTTATATATTCATGATCATGAATAGTTGATAAATCGCTTGAATAATGAGTTTGCCAGTGTACCCATCAACCCAACGCCTACAATAATAAGTTTTCGACGTGCTAAAGTATAGAAGTAAATCCAAATTCTAGTTTTTCTTATTCCCTCACTTGTATTTGTAGGAATTTTTAGTTCATTTTAAGTTACAATTGTTTCACCAAAACGGTTTGTATACACAGTGTGTTACGTCTCAGATAAAATCTCGCTGTTATTTGCAATTCATTCTGAATTATCACCACAAATTCTTTATTTTGTAAACAATTGATTCAGTTTTGTGTATACTGGTACTGCGAGTGTGGAGACTTGCTGACGAAGCCATTAAATTCCGTCACAAAAGAATTATATAAATGTTCGTTTTTTAATGAAATGTTCAGCTAATACGTTTTAAATTTATTGCAACCCTACTTTTTGTAACAGAAAGTCGTTAAAATATTGTTGTCCTTTGTTGCATGAAATCCAGTGGGAAGTTTAAATTTTCTGATTAATTAACTATGATGGTATAGTTACTAAATGTAAAACCAACGTGGAAAAGATAGACGAATTTTCCAACTTCACTTAGTCTTAGTTGCCATTTTCCTCAAAAATGTTGAGGGTAGGTAACAGTAGAACGTCAAAACACGGTGGTATTTCATAGTAGAATTGCTTTTTATTGGCAGAATGATGTACAGTCATCACGTTTACAAATGCTTAACAATGAAATCTCCATTTGCAGATGTTCTTCATACTGTGCTGTTTTGTCTGCTTTTAATCCTATCTATATTGTCGCACAACTATCTTTCGTCCCTTCTCTTCGTAACTTAGTCCATCTCTCGCAGAAGATAATACATACAACATACTACTCACAAGTTCTTGTCATTAGCTCATATCACATTAGAAGAGACGGTTTATGCATTCTTTCGTACTGCTTTTCTAATTTATAATATTTCTGATTGATCTCTGATTTTACCAGCAGATTAGGGGACTCTTCAGTTCGATGTTGAGAAAGGAACGTATTATTAATACATTACAGAAATATTGGTCTCTATAACTAACTAAAAAGTGGAATTAGGACTGATGCCTCTATAGAATATCACTAAAATGATCCCGATTTAGATTTATAGAATTTAGATATCTTTGACCTATGGATTTACATATTTGATACCTGATGTCGTCAATAACTAAAACCTATCTCTAAGGTGTGTGACACACCACTTTTGCTTAATTCTGTCTTGCTTAGTTAAGTTAATTATTATTATAAAAGTGTGTCTATTTCCCAATGAATGAAAAAACGAAACGACATTGTTTCTACTGACGCATCGCTATTTAATTCTCCTAATGGCTTTATCAAAGTAATATTAAACCAGAATTTACACAGTTTCAGCTTATGTACATTAACTTAATCACCCCTCTTCAGCATGAGGTAATTGTACGTTGTCAAACGGAAGGACCGGTAAAGACAACAAACCATGTGCAGATTGTTGGATTTGATAAGTGTATGAAATTATAGAGATACTATATGTTTACAAAGTGAAATCCCCTATCACATGTGTTGATTTTTTCAATTCATGCCAACAAATGTCGAAACCAGGGCAAATTCTGTCTTCATCCCTCATTCCTATTCAGGCAATTATGATTCCATTTTATTAGAATTGCTTCTGATGTGGAAAGCCTTTTGTGATTTTCGAAATTTTCCTGGGTGACTTCAGTACTGCAAAAATCACTGTTGTGATCTGATTCTGTAGCGTGTAGTCCTATGGATGAAGATTTTCCAAGCCTTTCTAATTTTGATAGATTTCTCGACGGTTGAAGACAGCCGAGGTGATGTTTCTTTCTTCTCATTTTTTATTTCTCTTGTGGTTTGTCCGGTATATATTGAGCTACATAATAAGCATTTAATTAAACAGACGCAGTTGGATTGAGAATCCTTTGGAATTTGATCTTTTACATGGATAAGGCTGCTTTGTAGTGTGTCTGATCTTTTGAAGGAAACACTGATGTTGTACTTATTGAGCACTCTTCAGATATCGGCTGATGTTTCTCATCTATATGGAATGACAACAGTTAAGGTCCATGTTTTCGGAATGTTTTCGATCATATTTAATGTCTGAGTTGATTTTGTTAATGAAGTTCTTTGGGTAGTTATTTTAATTGAGAATAACAGAAATGTTTGGTATTTCCTTTTTTTCTCCTCCTCATCAATAGATGAGGAGACTTGATACAAATGATATGTTTACACTGATTAGATGTGATGATTTGAAATCTTAGTACTTGTCTGAGCATGCTTTTTTCTGACTGTAGACATATTAAAACACATACTTTCTTTTTCTCTTAACTAGGCAGTTTAGAAAATCGTTTTGTCGTTCCATTTTTTGGGAAATACACAAACTTTTATAATCATGAATATCACATACCAAATGTGCAAATTTGTTTCAAACACTATTAAATGTAAATTTTATTTGGATATATATATATAAGATAATATGTGTTTGCTTATAAAATTGTAGATGCAACAGTATATGCTCAACTGGTATTCAGATCATTCGATCAGGAACATAACGGAACATTAACATTTGAAGTAAGTTTATGCTACATACATATTTATTTATTTCTCCTACTAAATGATATCTGAAAAAAAATTATAGCAAGTGAATGTTTTTTCTTAGCATGAATCTCTGCCTCTCCTTTCTCAAATGTATATAAAACCAAAAGCTTTACTTCAACTGTCAACATCATTATTTATTATTATAGAAATAAATAACTTAAAGTGAGCGAATGAAATCAATACAAACCGGATCTATAGAATTCTGACTATACCAATAACTAAAATGATGTATCATTGACTACATGCCTTTGATGATAACAGTCCAAATAATAAGGCATTAATGTACAAACTGAATAAGAAAACGAAAAATATATAGGGCCAAAGTAGAGTATTTGTCAGTTCACCTGTTCGTGTGAAGTTAGCTGTATCAGTAATTTAACGCGGGTTTTGTTCAAAAGGGTGGAAGAACACTATCTTGCATGATTACGAAGAAGTGAATTGGATCTAAAAAAAGTTCAGTAAATTAACATTCGACTGATACTGGTTACCGCATTTCTACAGTCTCTTCCTTTAAGTCACCTACAGGGCAAAAAATAACCTTCCCATATCATATCGTATTCAACTCATGTATGTTGCTGAAAGTTATAGGTTTGATCCATGCTCGTAGGATCATCGGTGCATACTGCTGAAGTCCCGAATAAGGACGAAAAAACTGTCCAGCACTCCCTGGTTTCTAATGGTCTCCTAACTGCAGTCAGTTTATGATCAGCCTTGAAAGGAATGGAAAGTGGTAATTTAATCATTTAGAGATTTTAGTGAAATATTACGAACTGAGATACTAAGAGTTGATGCTCGTATTGATAGGTACATAATAAGGAAAATAGACTAAATGTTCTGGGATCTTAATCTACTAAATATTATAGCCATGTATTGACTGGTGAGCTGTGAAGATCACAATAGTTGACACTGTTTTCGAATAACTTCGTACAGAATTACAACATTCCAAGTTGCCTAGCTGTTTAACAGCAGAAGGCAGGACACGGAAGTCAATGTATCTTTTCAGTTGATAAAACCGCTGCTTATATATATGCAGTTTATATTCCTCAACCAATCACTGAGCGTGTGATTTTGGTTTACATTACACTTCATGAAATAGAATGTTCAAATATATATCTAGTATTCTGTTGCTAATACCGTATTGAACTGTTGGAATATGTGAGAATAATATTCATTTGGAACACATTGTCTGTATCATACCACCACAACTGCATGTAGTACACAAAGGTAGAGAAAATGAAAAAAAGAAGTTCAAAAAACTACTATGTCAGAAATGTGCGCGAGAAAGAATAGTAATGTGGAAAAGCATGATGGTTTAATGGGTCTGCGAGGTCACAGAGAGTGAATTCATCTACACCACTGACGACGGCTTGATCTATATCATCAAAAGTCTCTAGCTACTGGCTGTAAGCATCTCGAACTCCCCAGGCAGACAGTTTACACCCCTCTGCCTGGCTGGCTCATTCCAACTGTAAGAGACTTTATGGGTTGAGTGAAGGTTTTGGTTTCACCAACCCTCGCTCCTTTCCAACCTATATCATCTGACACCGCTGGTAAAGGAAAGCGGTGACTTGGGGTGCGTAGCAGGTGTCTTAGCTATCTCAGCCGATGTATCTCAACTACCTCACCTACTGAATTTCCTATCTTACCTAGCACTATGCGCCTAACCTCAGTATTCCTTAAAAGAACGTATTGTAGTATTGTGTCAGCCGGAAATCGAATCTTCGACCACATGAGTGGTTGTAAACATTCTACCAGTGAACCACCAACTCAGATACTATTTATACTATATTAACATATCATTAACTGATGTATGTATGAATATTTCAGTATTCAGAACAGTTGAACCAATGATCAGACATATAAATCACTGTGTTCTGAAAAGTTCAGGAAAAACATACAATCAAACCTTATTTGAATCAGTGGAAATTATCAGTTATCAACGAAACTAGACAGAGTAACAAATGGATTTGATGATTATAAAACACTGTCTGTGAAGTTAGCTTTTCTCATTTCACCAAAAGTTAACTTTTGACTGAAGCTTAAGTAAAACAGTTTTCATTATACATTTAAATGAATGAGACTACAAAAGGGAAAGCTAATTGCTATGGCTTCACCTTTGAATAACGACTAGTAGCTCTGAGTATATGAGTAATTCCGATAAAGGCTCTGGTCTTTATGGATTATTTACGGAACCAGTTAAAATTTATTTCATTCTACCTGATTCTAGTGTAAAAGAAATACAGTTTAATTTGTCTAGTAACTCAGAGGTATAATTATCTGAATTCTCAATTTCCCTGGTATTCATCTTGTTTCAAAAATCAAAGTATTTGATATCGAATTTTGAATACAGTTGTTGTAGGTAATTCTGAAGAAGTAAAAGCACTTAATTATGTGGTCAAATATTTACAGTGGTGTCATTTACGCGGAAATGAAACGTTACCTGACCTTCCTCAAAGTAATCAGTGTGGTGTTTCGACAACATATTAAATATGTTAGGGAATATATATGTGTATTAGAGAATAAAATACATTTGGAAACTATATAAAGATGACAAACAACGAAATGGTGGAATTTTCTTCAGTGCAAAATTTATTGTGTCATTATCTGTAAGGAGACTATAAAATGCATTAATAAGTGTTAAATTGTGACGATATATTCGACGGAATGCACCAAACTAAGGACCAGACACATGGTACTGGTTACTAACTAGTGAACGGTCATGGTATTTTCTCAGTGTATATGATTCCTTTCTGAGCAGTTATTCCCATTTTCTGAAATTAGAAGTAAATGCAAATATTAATGGAAATTGGATTGCTTATTAGCAAGATTTATTCAGTGTGAGTTGTAAACGTTGAACGCCTGTAGGCTTTTATCATTTATTCTATTTTACCAGTTTTTCTCTTCTGTTAAACACTAACAAAAAAATAAATGGTCAAGGGGATAACTATAGTTTTAACCTACTTCCCCTTTGTTTATTTTTATTAGCAATATATTCAGTGTTTATCATGTTTAATGCATGGTACACAAAATGATAAACTACGTTGGGCATTTCGATTATATGATATAAACGGTGATGGTTTTGTGACTAAAGGTGAAATGTTGAAAGTTGTTAATGCTATTTATGATTTACTTGGACGAAATACAGAACCACCAATTAATGAATCTACTACTGCTAATCATGTAGAAAGAGTATTTCAAGTAAGTATCATTAAGACAGATGTTTCCTTGGACAATTATTATTATTCTCTTAGGTTCTAAGTGCAGCATGAAGCTTCAATAGCATATCCCTATTTCACTCTGTTCTTTGTAAACATTTTCACGTGACTCCACGGTTTCCTGTAACTTCCGTCTCCATCTTACACGGTCTTTTCTGTATCAATGTCGGATGCCACACTCGTCTTTCCCCATTCGGATTGGCCTTGAGTGTGATACCAGTCAATGGTCTCGTCTGCATGTATCAAACCCATCTCCATTTCTTCCAGTATATTTGTTGAGCAATAGGTCCTTATTTGGTTACTTGACAAAGTTTCTTGTTGCTAGTCCTTAGTGACGGGCCATCTGGCCTAAAGTGTGGAGCCAGAGTAGACAGCTGGTGATGAAAGCCTGCAGCAGACTGTTACAAATAGTTTTGACGGCACGTGTTGTAAGTTCCTGAACAACACAGAAGCACTGACTGGCTTGACATTAATGCTGAAAATTCGAACCCTATTTCTTATGCTGACTGCAACGCATTTCCACTCTGGTTTTAGATCAATGACAGTCTATTTTGCATTTTCTATCCTGGTTAATTTTGACGTTCTAATCAGAAACACATTTAGTTGAAACGGTGCTGCCTAGATAAGTGAAAGAGACTCGGTTAGAGATAGCCCACTGCAAATTTCAGTCCTACTGTTTCCTTAAACCACCTATGAGATTCAGACAGATATTTCACTATTTTATCTGAACATAGACTTACTTGATCAAATAACAGGAAAACATAGTGAGGATATAAACTGAAACAAAATTAGTATGATTCATGAGTCATTCGGATTGAAAAACCAGTCGTTATTTTCATTTTGTTCACAAAAAGTCTTTAAAAAATGAGAATTGCAATATGATAGCCCATTACTGAAAAGATACATCAAATTATTCAATAATATTACTTCTAGATCACCCTCCAGGCGACAGGAATAAATCTATCGTCCCACCCCCGACCACACCACTTCGTAAAATCCACTACCCTATTCAATTCTTCGAATTAATCAAAGTAGCTCATCATCTATAGTGTTCTCAATTAATGGGAGTTAAAAGAAGGGTTTTGAAAAATTCAAAGAATCCAGCACTTTAACTAGATGATAAATTGGTTAATTAGCAAACCGTGATGTTCTTTGACTCTATCCTGAATATGATAATGGATGAAAGTCTCCGGATAGTTTTGAATTTTAAAAAATAAAGAACTATTCACTGTTGTCCATGTTTTCCTAATGGTTCTTCAGTCGCTATCTGTTTTAATTATTTGTAATCGTAGTATTAGTATTTCGAGATGACCGAATAACAAGAATCCAGCCAAAACACAGAGAGGGCGGAATTCAGGGATTTGTATTTAGCGGAATTATTTATAGGAAATTTTCCAAGGTTATTTAGTTCCATTTAGCGGAATTATAATGCAATTCATATATGAAATATATTAAGAATCAACAGTAAGTATTTAAACAATACAGAGATAGAAATTGTGAATCACCACACTATCACTTACCAGTATAAACTGAATTAGTTACTTGACATTATTTACAGATATTAGAAAACTGTGCACTCCAAAATATACAGTATATTACGTTTGATCACGGACTGATGTCAGGTAGAGAACCGTTGAAAACCAGGGACAGTTGTTTTATCCTAGTTTGGGATTCATCAACTGTACGTACCCATGACTCCACCGTCATGGATGGAATCTAAACCTCTTTGATAATTCATCCCCTAAGACGGGGTCCAATAATCCATCAGTTCTAAATTGTATCCCTTTGCAGTTTCATAATTTACTCAAAAAATCCACTACTCATAAAATATGCTTGAAAGGACATAAGCTTAGTATTTTCTTTTTAAAGAATATGTAAAATGATACATTCGAGTACTATCTACTGGCAAAGACAACTTTTATGTAGCAAATGAAGTTAGGTTTCAGAGTACTCATTCAGACATTTCAGGCCGTCACTTAAGCTCAAAGAACGAATTGGTTACTCGTAACGTCATGAAAAATATGAAGGCGCCTATTACTCAGTCTTATGGTTAAAAGCATATAACCATTGAAATTTGGTGGAAATAAATCTCATGAGTTCGAAGTTTAACAACTGAAAGACGTCAATAAGTTGTATAAAGACGTAAGCATTCATCCTCCAGCTCCTAAGGCACTTGTTATACCGAGATCAGAGACAAATCAAAGCAACAGACTCGTCGTCTAAAAAATGAGATATACTTCAGGATCAGAAGTGTAGAGCGATAATGATTGCTTGACTAGCCAGGGTGTGTGTAAAAATGACTGAAGGTAACACAACAGTGTTCCGAATGAAGTGAATGTTTGACCGCCTACCTTCACCTTAACAAGTTGACTTAGATTGTGAAGGTTGTCAATGTAGTTGAATGAAGAATGCTGTAGGCTAATAATTCTGGGTGATCAATTATCGCCCTAAAGTAAGAGCATTTCATTTTTCATCACACCTCACACAAGCCATTATTTTTACATATTTAAAATTTTCGTGTCATATTTTTATCAGTAAGAAACAGATATTTGATAGGGTCACTCACTTATGCGTTTTAACTTGAGACCTCCTTAGAATAGTCTATGAGTGTGACTTGGAAGACAATACTTTTCCCCATATAATTAATGTAATAAAATGTTATCACCTTCAAGAGGCCTATTAACATAGGTGAATTACATCCCAATATTCAACTTCAAACATACATATATGACATGAATATATATCTAACTAAAAGTGTTTAAACACAAACCTAATTCATTGTTACATTTTTCACAGCGACTGGATTTGAATCAAGATGGTGTAATTAGTTTTGAAGAGTTTTTACAGGCTTGTGCTTATGTAAGTTTAGGTTTTTTTGTACTATCATTTCTTATTGTTTTGATCACATTTGTTTATAAAATCTAACTTAATTGAAACAACAGAAGACCATTTTTGCAAATATATAATATATGTTATATTTTTTATCTTAATTACAGCTCACTGATGAAATGAAATAGAATAGTTGCATATACATATATATATATTTTTTTCTCAGGAAGTAAACAAAATTCCCAAAAAATATTTTACTAAAGAAGTGCTCAGATTTATTCTAGAATGCAGTTAGAAAAATGTCATACTTAATCACTTTTCCATTTCAAGTGGAAGTCAAAACCTTTAGGTTACTTGAATATAGACATTTTTTCACATTTACTAAAAGTCCATTCATGTAATGTAAAACTCACTTGAACTATAAAATCAAATTGACAGATTAAATTATTTTTAGCTGGAAATCAGAAAAGGTATTTTAAAATAATTTGAGAATTAATATACTAGAAATATAATGGCCAATGGTAAAAAGTAGCACATATGTATGGTGAAATGATGTAGCGAGACTACTTATTCTTGAATAAATCGGATAGCACGTCAGCTGCAAATTATATAAACTGTAAAAGGGATGAAAATATAACTAATGTAATATGGTACAGTGTGATTCATGCTAGATTTCGTTTATTCTTGTATAACAGAAGTGCATTGTTAAATATTCTGAAATTATTGTCTAAAGGTACAATTCATTGGACGCATTTTTTCACCTATGAAATTTACTTGTGAAATCTCAGAGTTTAAAGGTGACTTTCAGTGGAACACACAAATCCTACCAGAAAATTTCAATGCAATATATATATGTGCGTCGGTGGCACAGTGGTTAGGACTCTCGCCGACCATGCACATGGTCCGGGGTTCGAGCCCACGCCGGCGCACACCTGATATCTATGGTCGGCCTGTGAAATTTGGGCTACCGATATCCATGCTGAAAATTCCATACTTGTACCAAAAGTACAGTGTGGAATCAAGCTGTAAATCTATATATATATATATATATATATATATATATATATATGTCATCAAAATATGACTACACATTTAGTCATGGCTAGCGGTGAAATACTGTTTACACTTGGTAGTTATCGCTTAATTTCCGTAAATAGCAGAAACTTTTGTTTCAATTCCAGTAATCTTAGTCAGCACTACCAACTGAAATCAACAGTTTGATTAGCACACAAGACATTTTAATTAAACTTAATAGTTATTTTTTAAATACTTCAAACTTTTTATACCCTTCGTTTTGTAGGATCCTACTGTATGTGACGCTCTGGACAAGCTAACAACCATTTTATGAATCATTATTGGTAATACTCACTTTCAGACCTAAAAATGATTGATAAAACTCCCTATGTGCATTGTTATTCACAGTGACTGACTGATTTATTTACCCGTCTGTCACTATCACCCAATACTGCTGCTACCACTACTTCTATTGAAACCATTAAACCCTTATTTCATTGAAGTGAAAATATCACTTTCCTGTAATTTTCTCTATTACTTCATACAAGTGTTATTGTTATTATTATTACTTAATAATCAGAAGAACAGAGTAAAAGATCGTTATATTCCCTTGAACCTTTTATTACTCAAATGCGAAACCGGTGAATTTCCAACTTTTCTGTTTGTCATTTAAAGAGGCAGCCTAAAACGAAACTTCTGTTCCTGAAATGCGATAGCATTACCGCACCAAGTGGTATGCAGTAAGTAGTAGACTGTAGCAGATGCAACTAATCGAGGCAAAAGGTCTTATATTTAGTTGCTTTTCTGAGTAAATCAATGTTACACTATACCTTTTAATAATAATAATAATGATAATAATAATAATAGAAATTAGGCAACCTGGAAATGTTTGCAAAATCTACTAAATCTTGTTCCCTTATATTTAAGCGAATTGTTTTGGTGGTAATGAATAATAACTGTAACATATTGTTGACGGTCATATCTACTGATATTTTGTGAGAGCTGTCTGCAAGCCAAAATTGTAGACAACAATTTACGTCAGTGTTTACGTCCCGAATCAGGGTCATGAGAAAAAACAATAGCATAGCTTAACTTTGACGAACTCCCCAACCAATCACAGCGGAGTTGAAGTGTGGGAATATGATTCACAGATACATGACTTGATTTTCTGAGAAACAGTCACAAGCAGTACAGAATAACCTTCAGCAAGAAAACAACCAGTCAGAAGACGTTGCTTCTCTGTTAACAATAACGCTAATAACAATGTACATTAAAACCTATAAATACCTCTTGATTTTCTCAATGAACGATCTGTTGTCTGGCCCTTGTCTTCTGTCGTTACAATATGATCCCAGCAAGCTGATGATTTAATAGCGATAAACATTGTAGGACGGAGAACGTATATTCGTGATAGGTATCTAGTTATTTCTAAGTTACCTGGTAGGTAAAAATCAGCTTGAAAAATGGTACAGATTCTGGATAATTGGTGCAGAAAATAAAGAAAGTCTGCAGAGTCACGCTGAGGTTATGCAGCGAAGCGTTAGGAAAAACATGCTGATATGCATCATACGTTACTACCCAGTCTTGATTATTGACTTCAGTGGTGCGCTTTATTGCAACGCACCAAATCCTGAACATCTGAAAGTGTGTGTACAGCTGGATTCTGCGGTCAGACTTAGATAACTTGGTTTATTACGACACATGACATTAAATTCAGTTGGTACTTTGATACTTTTAACTTAGCTGCACTGTAAAGTATATAAAGGAATATACTTAAATTGTCTTCTTCTTGGTTTGAGCTGGATTAACATTTATAAGCCAGGTGAGAGGATGTAGCCGCATTTTTTTAAGTACACTTCAAATATTCATTATCCTATTGTTGAGACTTTACAAACCGTATAATATTTCGACCCACCCTTCTAGTTCTTTCGGGACACTTTTAAATATTCGGTGGATAACATTTCAGTCTAACCCATCGACTACTGCAGCTTAGCCGAAAGTGGAAAGATGAGGTACATAAGTTTGCTTTTGACTGAATTTGTGACTAGTACCAGGATAGTAGTGCCATGATAAATGCGAATTTCATCCCACCTGATACCCCAGTGATCACTTTTACCCATATCGAGGATACTCGATTCGCTATCGTGCGAAATTTTCATGAAAGCGTCTCAATCAAAGAACTGGGTAACCATACTGATGTTAAACCAAGTTCTATACATAAACTCATCAAGATAACTGTATATCATAGGATTTCTAGATCCATTCACCAATCTAATCCGTTTTTGTAGGCGACTCCAGAAAATTTCGATCGAATTAGTATGAGTTCCATCCAAAGGATTAGGAAAACCGTTTGTGTGGTTGACTACATGATGAATATACCCGAGATTCGACAATTGACCGTAACTGCTCCATTCGTCTGTATGAATAGTGGTCCCAGGTAGCACTAAGCGCTGGGTAATAGGCAGTAATACACTAGCACTGCGATTAGGAATCGCCTCAATATATCCTTTTCGGAGAGTGGTGTCATAGATACCCAAAATCCATTGCTGGTAATCTGCAAACCCATAAATGGACTTTGTGTATTTTTGTATACCAATATCACCTCCGAAGTGACAAATTTTCGACCTTGCAATCAGCCCCTTATCCAAACAGTAATCAAAAACAAGATCCGGAGCGAATTTACAACGCAAAAGCTGTAGAGCATCAATAATTACTTCTAGTAACAACAGAGTCAAGGTCGTTTGTGCGTTCGTAGGTCCAATATCCAATATCCTGATTACGAGCTAGTATAAACCAGTGATTTCTTTGAGCTCGCTTCTTGATTGTGAGGTAGAGGTTCCAGATCTTCGGTGAGCTTCTGCGTAGTAAGTCCCGACACTCGACTGCTTTAGCTCTGGTAGACTCCAGGAGGAGTGGTGCGGGGATTGGTCGAGATGTGGTTTGTAGTATGCAGTATGTTAGGACTGTATTGCTGCCGTGAATGGAGTTTGACCTAACTCCCGTTGGTCATTCGGTGTAGTCATAAAAGCAGAATAGTAATAATAATAATTAGGTTGTAGTGTAGATAATATAGGTTGAGATAAGTGGAATAATAAAGGTGACCTAAGGAAAAGATAGAGTGAGAGAAGGCAGAATAGGTCGTGGGGATTTAGTTTGTACGCTTATTCATTGACAGTTTGGTTTCAAATTTTATGAGGATAAGCCATTGAGACACAAACCTTGCATTTCTGCATGATTGTCTAGCTTCCGCTTAAAAATCTCCAGAGATGGCGCTGTAGTCACGGCCGCCGGTAAAGCGTTCCAGAGACGGCAAACACGAAGCGAAAAGAAATGTGATCGCACTCGAGTCTTTGGTCTCTGGTGTGCTATCCTTAGCGGGTTACCTCGTGGAAGCCTATAATCGCTTAATGGCAGGATGCTTTTATTTGGGTGGGCCTGGTCATTTAGGATCTTGTAGACGGTGATGAGGTCTCCCCTGTGCCTACGGTAACTAAGTGTGAAAAGACCTAATTTCTTTAGTCTTTCCTCATATGATTTGTTGCGGAGGCCGATCACCCATTTTGTCGCTCGTCTCTGGACACTTTCTAGAATGTTAGCATCCCTTTTGAGTAGCGGAGGTGCAATGATATTATGCACCTCAAGGTGTGGCCTCACATATGCCTTGTATAGCCTTAAGAACAGTTCGGGAGTGAGAGCTCCCAGCTGCCTGTGCATAAAGTGTAATGTTGCGTAGGCTTTGGCGACGTCCCTCGAGTAATTTCCACTGGTGTCTAGCTTTTCTGTTAGAATAAGACCTAGATCACGCTCTGATGGAACACAACTCAAGTTCTGGCCACCAAGGGTGTAATTTACACTCTGTGACCTGCCGGAATGAAGCTGCACTACTTTGCACTTCTTTAGATTGAAAGGCATTCCGTTAGCCAAAGCCCAATTTCCCAGAGTTTGCAGGTCAGCCTGCAATCTATCTGAGTCTTCCGATGAGTTTATTGCTCTCCAAATCTTTACGTCGTCAGCGTAAAGAAGCGCAGAGCAGTTTAGTTGGGGGGGCAGGTCATTGATAAAAATCAAAAACATCAACGGCCCTAGGATAGAACCCTGAGGAACCCCTGATGCCGAGGTGTGCCAGGATGATCGGATGCGGTTGACTTTGGTGCAGAATTCTCTCTCGCCTAAGTAATCTGTCAGCCATGCGAGAAGTGCTCCAGAAACACCCGCCTTGCTATTTTGTGAAGGAGCAGACCATGGTGAACTGTGTCGAATGCTTTCGCAAAGTCGAGAAAGATCACGTGGGCTGGTACCTTTTTGTCCCAGGATAGTGTCCAATCGTTCCAGCTAGTAGAAGATTCGTCACGCAGGATCTTCCCCTCCTGAAACCGTGCTGTGCTTCGTGAAGAAGGTTAGTCCCATCGAAGTATTTTCTCATGTGGTCGTCAATGAGACTTTCCAATATCTTCGATACCACTGGAAGTAGAGCAACTGGTCTGTAACTGGTCACATTCTGCCGGTCACCACCCTTGAAGATAGGGGATAGGATTGCACGTTTCCATTCACATGGAAGTTTCCCTACATCAAGGGAGTGTTGGAACAGATCACTTAGGGGTTGACAGAGACTTTCTGAACACTGCTTCAGGACAGATGGTCTGATGCCATCACAACCTGGAGACTTTCCCGAAGCCAACCTTCCCAATTTTGCAAGTACCATAGCCGGGGTAATTTGAAATGTCCCCAGCAGGTTTTCGTGTGTTGGTTTTGCGATGTAATCTGGATGTTCTGTAGGGGTAATATCCTCGTTACTATTTAGTTGCCTGTGAAAGGCTAGGCTGAATGTCTCTGCCATTTCAAGACTAGTAAGAGATTTCCCATCAGAACCCACTAGATTGCATGCTCCCTGGTTGGTCGGTTTTCTTTCGGCCATAAACCTGTATAGGCTTTTGGGGTTCACGAGAAGCTTATTGGCGAGGTCTCCCTGAAATGTCCTTCTATCGCTCCGGACTCGTATGTTACATCGATTCCTGAGTTCAAGGTACACTTCATATTCGGGTTGACTCTTCGATCGTCGCCACGCGAACCAGGCTTTTCGCTTTGCCTGCAGAAGGCGTTGTGTCCCTCTTTTCAGCCATGATCGTTGCTTCCTAGCTTTTGGTGTGACTAAAGGAACAGTGTCTGAGACCGCCTGGTGAATGATTCCTTTACCACTCTCCAGTGTTCTTCTACTGTTAGCTCTGTCCATTTTTTAGGCCAGTTTGCTTCAGACAGAAGTCTTCGCATTTTGGTATAGTTGGCTTTGTTATAACACAGATAGGGCTGTGTATTGTCCCACTGTAAGCGCTCGCG